TCCATCCATCCAGGCATCCATCCATCCATCCATCCAGGCATCCAGCCAGCCAGCCATGCATCCATCCATCCATCCATCCATCCTTAGTCCCTGTAAGGTGTCATCAATCAGCTCTTAGCCCTTGACAAGGTGTGGGGAATGCTCTCCAGCCATTTAGTGCCCTCAGATAAAACTCCCAGGCACAGCCAAGGGCTGGAGCAGGCAGGGTGTGCCTTAGATGGTGGTGGCTACCTTCCCTGGGCTCCTCAGCCTGGTGCCCACACCTGCTACAGTTACAAGGGGACCCCTAAGAACCGTCTCTGAATATGGGAGGCCCTGCTTACAAGCAACTCACAGAGCAGAGATGGGGGATATTCCTCATCCTGCTAATCAAGCTGCACCACCTGCTCAGGCCACAGCTCTGCCCACACCTCTCGATGAGTCAGGGACATCCATGGAGCCACCTACAGAACTCTAGCATGACGATCCCAGTTACTCCCCCTGCACGCTGCACTGCTTCGTGTGCCTGCACCTTGGCTTATGTGGGTCCTCTGCCTGGAAGAGCCTTCCCACCCTTTCTTACCTGCCTACTTATATCCCACTCATCCTTTAAGACCTAGCTCAGCACCACCTCCTCCAGGCAGCCTTTCTTGAGCCCTCTGAGGGAGCTGAGTGCCTGCTCTCTGTCCCCACAGCAGCTTGCCCTGCACACTTCTATCGTTCCATGAGTCCCCACACGTGACCCCAGGGAGATCCTGAGTTCCCTACCCAGGGCCTGGGTCTGACCCCATTGCCTCTCAGAGCAGACCTGGCCTGGCCCAGAGGAGGGGCTCAACAGACACGAGTTTGTACTTTTGCCTTGAAAACGTTTCCTTTTATTTTCCTTACAAGAGCGATACATTATTAATGTATTTATGAAGGACTGGGTGGAAACTCAAAAGGAGAATTTTCCATCCCCAGAGGGTAAGCATTTGGTCTCTGTGAATTTGTTTGGCTGGGTTCATTCTTTTGTGTCTGTGTGAATCAGGAATCATGTGTCAGGCAGCCCCCCCTGAGTGTTTTTTTCCAGTTCAGATCCAGGAAGTGCAAAGAAAACACAGAAGGCCCTGTGGGCCCCTATGGGGCAGACCGTTTCCCCTGAAAATGTCACTTCAAGCTGCTCTAGTGCCCCCAACCCCACATGGCACCCTGGCATTAACAGGAACCAGGAAACTTCTGAGCCACAGAAACAGAATGGAGTCAGAAAGACCCAGGCTCAGGTCCAAGGTCATCTCTTAGCTGGGTGAGCTGGGCAAGCCACCTCCCTTGTTGGAATCCCAGCTCCCTCATGTGTGAAGTGGGGACAACATCAACCCAGGGAGGTGTTGGAGAGAAACGGGGTGGCAGGAGGGAGAAAGAGAGACACAGAGGGAGAGACAGGGCTCTGGATGCACATGCTTCTCCAAAGTGAGGGGCTCTGGGCCTCAGCCCCTGGCTGCCTGGGGACTCATCACAACCACTCGCCCCACCTGAGCTGCTATGTCCAGGCTCGAGGCTCAGGAACCTTCCCGCCTTGGGATTGCCTTCGCTTCTCCCCAGACCAACCCTGTAACCCAGGGTCTCAGAGTGTGGTCACCCAGAACATGTCAGAAATGCCACTTCGGCTCAACTCAGGTCTCTGGAGTCAGGTACCCTGGGGTGGGCTTTGCACCCTGTGGTTTACGATGCCCTGAGGTGATTCAGATGCCTCTGGATTTGGGGACCTGCTGCCCCAACAAAGCACTGCATCGGCCTGCCCGGTCGTTCATTCGTTCGTTCTACAAGAATTTACCACTATGTTCCCTCTGCTGGTTGCTGGGAAAGCAGACACAAAAGACCGGGTTCCTGGTCTTGCATTTAGCGATCCATACCTTTGGGAGGCCAGGCTAGGAAAGTGAGGCCTTCAGGTGCACGAGACTGCTTCTGGACTGGTTAGGAGTGGCCGCGGGGTCAGCGGCCCAGCCTGACCTCGCACGGGAACCCCTCCTCCATGGGCCCACGTCAGAGGCTTCCTCCTTGCAGGGCTGGGCAGCTCTGCAGAGGGCAAGGTCTTCCTTACAGTGAACCAGAATCTGCTTTCGTGACCTCTGCCTTTTGGCCTGCTTCTGTCTCTCAGGGGGCCGAGGGCGTTGTCTGTCTCCCTCCTCCAGGAAGCCATTCAGGTGTGAGCCATTCATGCCCCCCCCAGTCTTCTCCTCTCCAGGCCAAACACCCCAGCTCCCTCCACGGTTTCTCAGGCTTTGCGGCCCTCTCAGTCTCCCGCCTGCCCCCAGGTGAAGCTGCTGCTCACGGGCAAGTCCCTTCAGGCCTGGGATTTAGACATCAAGTCAGGGCTTTGGCTCCAATTTCCCATGATCCAAATTATTCTGGAAAATTCTCCCAGAAGGTGCTTCAGGCTCAAGGAGGAGCAGGGGATGAAGAGGTGGGTTTGAGTCTGCGATTGGGGTGAGTGAGTAGGGCCGTGGGAACTGAGGCCCCAAGAGAGAACGGCAGAGTCATTGAGTCCTTCTGTTTTCAAACAATAATCATCCTAAAATAATCCACATGCCAAAGAGCCACATTTTGTGGTGGCAAATTTTGCTCCCCTACATAGGCAGGCTCTGCCTCTGGCTGTTAACAGGCAGCAGTGGTCCCGGCCCTGGGCTGAAAGCCTGAAAGCCCTGCCTCTCCTGCAGGGAGTGGCCAGCTGGGGTGTGTTACCTTAGCAACGGATGGAAGGGCCTGAGCCCAGTCCTGCTCCCCAGGTGCTCTGGAGGGTCCAACTGCCTCCCTTAGGTAACGTCTGTGGACCTCACATGAGTTGAGGATGTACAGCACACAGGCCAAGGCACAGCCTCCCCAGTTAGAAACATCTAGAACAGAAAAAGTTTCTATCATAGAATTGGAAAGCTTATGGGGTCCATCACCCTGCCTCTAAGCAGCAGAACTCATCTCAAAGAGTGGCCCCAAGGGGGGTGTGGGTGGCTCAGTCGGTTGAGTGTCCAACTTCGGCGACCATAAAACCTATGACCCACAAGGAACGGTATGGCCATAGATCACCCCTCATACGATGGAAACAAGCCAATCAGGAATGGACCACCCAGCATCTAGGGTTATCCAGTCAATAAGGGTAGGACCTGAGAAGAAACAAGAGGGAAGGCAAGGGGCTGACCAAAACCCTATAAAATAAAGACCCTTGTCTATAGTTGGGGCATTCACTTTTGAATGCTCCTTCTCCGTAAAGAGGACTTTCCTATTACTCTTACTTGGTAAGTAAGAGTAATCTTATAGTCTAATAAACTATTGCCTGCTGCTCATTTTGTGTCCACATCTTCATTCTTCAAAGCAGTGAGACAACAAACCCCGGGTATTGAGGTAAAAAAAAATTCTGCAGCACGGACAGTTCAGAGCCTGGAGCCTGCTTCAGATTCTGTGTCTCCCTCTCTCTCTGCCCCTCCCCCACTCACACTCTGTCTCTCTCAAAAATAAATAAACATTAAAAAAAAAAAAAAAAAAAAAGACCAGTGGCACCAGGAGCTCCTGGGAACTTGTTAGAAACACAGATTCTTGGGCCCCAGCGCAGACCTGGACCTGACTGGCCCGCCATGTGAATACTCACCAGTGATGACAGCAAAGTCAGCCTCCACATCACAGGCAATCACATCCCCATTTCGTATGTGTCTTTTCACAGCCTCCTTGACTTTGCCCTTCCCAAGCTGATTGCCCCATCACCAACCCCTGAAGGCAAGGGGAACCAAGTCAGTGGGTGTATAGGATTGGGCAAAATGGGGGCTCGTTGTGGGGCAGGACGGTCCCCCCCCCACATGTGTTTTGTTGCCTCAGGTTAGGGAAAAGGGTTGCTTCTGGGTACATTTTCAGACAACTAGGAGATGTACTTCTCCTTCAGCTCTTCTAGGAACTTCTTTAGTTAAAAATTGAGTTGAGGGGCGCCTGGGTGGCTCAGCCGGTTAAGTGCCCAACTTTGGCTCAGGTCATGATCCCACAGTTCATGGGTTCGAGCCCTGTGTTGGTCCCTGGGCTGAGGGCTCAGAGCCTGGAGCCCCTGCTTCAGATTCTATGTCTCCCTCTCTCCCTGCCCCTCCCTCACTAGTGCTCTCTCTCTCTCTCTCTCAAAAATAAATAAAACATACAAAGTTTTTTTAAAAAAGTGAGTTGAAGTTTGGAACTCACCAGAATGTGGCCAGTGCCCTACTGAGTCATGCTCTCTAGTCACAGATGGAATACCCCCTATGCTGATGTTACCAAGCCCGAGGGAGACACAGCTGTGGTTCCTCAACTTTTGAGTGACTCCTGCTTACAGAGGGGCTTCAGGGAAGGCCCTGAACCCCATCCATGTGCTGGGGAGCTGATACAGATTGTAAAGGTCAATTCTGTAATTTAATGTAAATTAAAGACTGAGCCTGGGTGGCTCAGTCGGTTGGGTGTCCAACTTCGGCTCAGGTCATGATCTCACAGTTCGTGAGTTTGAGCCCCACATCAGGCTCTGTGCTGAGAGCTCAGAGCCTGGAGCCTGCTTCAGATTCTGTGTCTCCCTCTCTCTCTGCCCCTCCCCCACTCATGCTCTGTCTCTCTCTCAAAAATAAGTAAACATTAAAAAAAAAAGAGTATGAAATATATGAGTGTCAGTTAATCTACACCAGAAGGGTGCCTGGTTGCTTGTGGAGTAGCCTAATGAGGAATACATACCACAGGGGTGGTTGGTTAGCACTGGAAAGAGACCACGGCCTAAAGGCGATCTGATAAGCAGCACCAGAGGGTTTGTTAATTAGCACAATAAATGCTAGCACAAATACGTTAGAATAAATCAATATCAGAAATGATTTAATTCTTCTGTGAAAGGAATGGTGTTGAAGATAGGTGAACTGGCTAAAAATAATTACCAGGCCGCACCACCCTCACAGGAACAGGATGCAAAAAAATCTAACCAGGGGCACCTGGGTGGCTCAGTCAGTTAAGCGACTGACTTCAGCTCAGGCCATGATCTCGCGGTCCACGAGTTCGAGCCCTGAGTCGGGCTCTGTGCTCACAGCTTGGAGCCTGAAGCCTGCTTCAGATTCTGTGTCTCCCTCTCTCTCTGTCCCTTCTCTGCTCTGTCTCTCTCTCTCTCTCTCTCTCTCTCTCTCCAAAAAAAAAAAAAAAAATTATAACTAACTCTGCAGCCTACCCATCTGAGGTGGTGCTAGAGGAACACTCTTTGCTCCTGTGTCCAGGCGTTTCTGGAGGATTCTGTAGGCCAGAGGTCAGCTGAATCTGCCTCCAGGAGAGGGTTGTGGCTGCCTTAAGATAACCGCTTACCCAAAGCACTTGTCCAAGGGCCTCAAGGGCAGAGGGCCAGGCCATGCAAGCCTGCAGAAAGGTTGCATGGCTCTTTTTGTGTCTTTTTCTAGAAAGGCCTGGAATGCGTGGAAGCATTCCACCAGAGGCTAGCATTCACTGTGAGATGGTGGACAGGGACCAGAGCTACGCCACCTCGAGCGCCAGAGACCTGGACGCAGCCCAAAGAATCAGACTGTTGTGAATGGCCAGATGCCTTAGGTCCACACCCTGAGGATTTCTCTCTGAAAAATTTTCTGGGTCCACGACAGGCTACTGAATGAAGGGAAATAATAACAACCCCAGCATTGGTATTTTGTCTATTTCTGTCTCTGCTCTTTTGCATTTTATGAATTTTATCTTGTTTGCTCCTCAGGTGAGTCCTTGTTTTCCTCACTTGATGGCATTCCCAGAATTTCCAAGAGGGGTGGCACCTAGGTCCTGGGTGGTCAGTAGTACGTCCATGACAAGGTAGCTGCCAGTGGAAACTGAGGAAAACAGGGTCTTGATGGAGCAGAGGGGAGAAAAGACCAGGGGTGGTCCTGCTGAGAAGGGGGTGCTGGGGGAAATCACAGGAGAAGCCTGGAATCCTTTGGGTAAGAGAGGGGTCCAAGGGCCCACAAAAAAGGGGCAATTGGAAGGCACAAACAGCGAGCTCTACCTGTGTCCTCTGGGATCTTGGGGGGATGAGCAAAGATTAGGGGTCCATTCATCAGGGGAAGAGCAGCTCCTTCAGACCCTGATGGCCCCTTTGGACTTGGAGACCCCTTCCCTCCCCGCCCTGGGCACGCTTTCCTCCAGCCCTTAGGTCCTTCGCCTGGCCAGCCTCGAGAGACAGGAAGCCCAAGCCAACTGTGCTGTGGGCACCACACCCACGGCCTCTTCTGGGAAAGACCAGGCGATTTGCAGAAATTTTCTACCCAGCCAGGAAGACTTTCATTGTCTCATCCAACCTCAAAAGCCAAAGGAGACTAATGAGTCTGGGAAACACTCTGAAGTGTTTGAATGAAGAGAACAAATAAACACAGAACAGAGAAACTTGCCTTAATTACCCCAGGGTCTACACCTACTCCCAGGGGAAGAACACTGCTCTGGGAGTTACAGCAAGCCTTTCAGAAATTCAGTTAAAGCAACGTGATTCCATGAAAAGCATGTTTGGAGGGGTCCTGGGAGTCTGGACTCCTAATTCTACCAGCAACACTAATGGGCTCAGCGACCATGAGGAACCTCCGTAGGCCTCATTTTTGTACACTCTACCTTACCTACTTCCCAGGGTTTTAAAGAGGCTTCAACAATATATGGATGTGAAACCTCTTTGAAAGTGATGAAGTTCTGTACAAACACAAATGATCACATTATATTATTAGCAATCGGAATATTGCACTAATCATATATTCAAGATATATTTCAAAACTAAAGCTCTTATAAGATTAAGCACAGTATATACATGGTTCATTGGTCCTGCATGACCAAAAAAATATGTTATGCCTTGATTTTATTATTATTATTATTATTTTACTATTAGTTTTTTTTTAAGTTTATTCATTTTTTTTTCAACGTTTATTTATTTTTGGGACAGAGAGGGACAGAGCATGAACGGGGGAGCGGCAGAGAGAGAGGGAGACACAGAATCGGAAACAGGCTCCAGGCTCCGAGCCATCAGCCCAGAGCCTGATGCGGGGCTCGAACTCACGGACCGCGAGATCGTGACCTGGCTGAAGTCGGACGCTTAACCGACTGCGCCACCCAGGCGCCCCAAGTTTATTCATTTTGAGAAAGAAAGAGACAGTGTGAGTCGGGGAGGGGACAGAGAGAGAAGGAGACAGAGAATCCCAAGCAGGCTCCACACTGCCACACACAGCCTGACACAGGGCTCTAACCCCCAAAACCATAGATCATGGCCTGAGCCGAAACCCAGAGTCGGATGCTTAACTGACTGAGCCAGCCAGGTGCCCCTATTTTACTATTAGTTTTAATATTTTAGAGTTGGGGGAATAGAATATGCTAAAGCGTCATTTTCCTTTCTTGCTGTGGGAATGTTGGATTTCTAAGTGATAATGTTGTTATTGTCTACACAGATCACAATAAACAAAGAACAGCTCTGGAGTAGAAAAACTATGGACCCCATAGAACTCCTTCATGTCACCTGTTCAATAGTCAACTAAAAAGGCATTTAGTGCAGACACGCTCTTGTTGAATTCTCTGTGCTCCCGACTTACCAGTAGCTGAGATTCCAGGAATCTTCTGTGCTGCCAGCAAAAGATCATCAGTGGGGTCAACCCAGTGCCTGATGCTCATCTTCCTCGCATTATAGCAATTACCATTGGCGGCCCTTCCTGTGCGCTCAATTGCCACCAGATGGTCGAATCTGCCAGGAAGCAAGGGCATAGGGGCTTTATGGAGGGTGTGGCTGACTTGTTGGGTAATGTGTTTGTGTGAAGGACCCTTGTGCTCTCTTTGATTCCTTCATTCCTGCAGAATTTGACTCAACATTTATGTGTGCCACGGCCTGTGCTGGGGGCTAGTTGATCAGATCATTTTTTTTAAAGTTTATTTGTTTATTTTGAGAGGAGGGAGGGGCAGAGAGAGAAAATCCCAAGCAGGCTCTGCACTGTCAGCATAGAGCCAGACTCGGGCCCGGAACTCAGGAACCGTGAGATTATGACCTGAGCCGAAACCAAGAGTCAGATGCTTAACTGACTGAGACACCCAGGTGCCCCTCGATCAGGTCACTAAAAATCTCATCAGAATCTCTAGCGGTTCATTAGAGTCAGAGGCTGTGAGATTGAGAAGGCCAACGGTCAGGGTCACGTGTTTGACACTGCTGATGCCCTGCCCCATCTCCACTAGCCAGTGGGCACCAGCACCCAGGGGTTGGAGCGTTGGCTGCTCCTGGCCCACTTCTGGCTTCTTCTAGGTTCTTGTTCGGTTTACGAACACAAACAGACTTAAAAAAGAGTTGAAATGGAAGACAAATGAATCTAATACAAGACGGAGATTAGATAAGAGGCACAGGGAGCAGCGGTAAGCTTGTGGGCTATGGAATCAGATGGTGTAGGCTCTGAGTCCAGACCCTCCCGCTCCTGGCCTTGGCCAAGTGCTTAACCTCTCTGACCCACATTTGCTACCTCGGATGACCTGACAAGGGGACCTGTCTCATACAGGGCTGAAAGCAGCCTCCCTCGGCCTCATTTTTGGACACTGTGCCTGCAATATCTACTTCCCCGGGTTTGAAAGAGGCTTCAACAATATAGTGGAGAAAATGCACAAGAGATGCTTAGCAGAGGGCCCTGCACCCACTCAGTGCACGGTAAGTGGTAGTAGTTGTGGATGTTATCACTATTAGGAGGAATATTATCTTTTTTTCTCCACTATTTTTAAGTTTTTATTTAAATTCTAGTTAGTTAACAGACAGTGCAATATTGGTTTCAGGAGTAGAATGCAGTGACTCATCACTGATCTACAATGCCCAGTGCTCATCACAAGCGTCCTCCTTAATGCCCACCGCCATATAGCCTATCCCCCACCCACCTCGGGAAAATACTGTCTTGATTATCCAATTTAAAAACATGAAAATCACACTTCTTTGTTTCTGCAAATCCTCCCATGATGGAGTTCTTTAAAATCTTTGCTACAGGTAGCTAGGTGGTTAAGCATTGGCTTCAGCTCGGGTCATGATCTCGCGGTCTGTGAGTTCGAGCCCACATCGGGCTCTGTGCTGACAGCTCAGAGTCTGGAGCCTGCTTCGGATTCTGTGTCTTCCTCTCTTTCCGCCCCTCCGCCACTCATGCTCTGTCTCTCTCCCTCTCTCAAAAATAAGTAGACGTTAAAAAATTTTAAAAATCTTT